AAAGCCAGAAGATTTAATACTAAGACTTCAATAGATAATTCTTTGAAGGACAAAAATATACAATGAAATCAATGGAAAGCTAAATTACTGAGCATGAACACAAATTAAGAGGAAGAGGAATAAATTACGTGTGACTGGAATTCCAGAACAGGAAGAGACCATAAAAAGAAAGAAAGAAAGAAAAAAAAAAAAAACAAAAAAAACATATATATATAAAATTATCCAAGAATTGTTGGAAGAAAACTTCCCTAACATCATAAAAGAAGAGAAATTGATTCAAGAAATTGAATGAACTACAGGATAGACCCCCAAAAGAAAATCATAGACAAGGAATGTAGGGGTGGATAAAGGCATGAAGTGACTGGCTTACAAGGTTTCAAAAGGGAGTTTAGTTTAAGAGTGTGTGGGGGAAGAAAGAGTCCCCACTGAATAGTTTTCATCTTGTCTAGATAGATCTGGTGAAAAGAGATGGGGATTAAGATTCTTAAGATTCAATAGTGAGTAATTGTTATCACAACTAATTGAGACGGTCACAATTGTAAAGGTAGAAGTTTTGTAACAAAAACAACGGGGGAGTAGTTAATCTTACAGTCCAGAAACAGAGGACACTAGTACTATCAAGGGAGAAGAGCACAAGCAGACTGTGGGACCCTATCCAGAGAAGCAGTGACACCAGAGATGGAGGAAGAGATGGGGACATGGAGAGAGGGAGCAGCTGAGAACTCTAGATTCGTGGAAAGAGAGGGACTGAGAGCTGGCGGCCAGGAGGCATGCTTGCAGAATGTGCCTTTTGGTGGTTTAAAACTGGCTCAAGGGCACTTAACAACAACGAATAGAAGTATTCAAAATAAATCTGTAAGACTGAAAATAGGGAAGCAGAGACACCAGTTTGCAACAACAACAAAACCATAAAGTAAAAAGAGGGAATAATAAAGAGGAAATCAAATAAATTTCAGTTGAAAAAAATAAGATAAATATATAAAAATAAACCTAACTTTATTGTGGCCTCTAGGCCCATGGACTGAGAAATGCTGTGTGCTTGCGGGCAGGAGACTGGCTAGTAGGGTCAGTACCAACTCGACGGCACCTAACAACAACAACAACAATATCAAAACACCTAACTGTAACCCTGAGTCCTGGTGTGGTACCATAAGAAGCACTCAAGGTCGTTTGAACTGCAAGGTCAGTAGTTCAAACTCAGCAACCACTCCTTGAAAACCCTATACAGGGTCATTATGAACCGATTCAATGGCACTTAACAACAATTGTAACCCTAAAACTAGACCATGCCTTATTCTTACCCTTAGCCCAACCCCTACCACTAACACTAGGCTTTCTGTTAAGTGCCCTCTTGTCAGTTCAGATTCATAGCCACCTTGTTTCTGAGGCTCACGAATCTTTGTGGGAGCAGAAAGCCTACCTCATCTTTCTACCATGGAATATCTGGTGGGCTTGAACTGCTGACTTTGAGATTTGCAGTCCAGTACTTATCCTATGGAGCCACACAAACCTTGTTGTTGTTGTTAGGTGCCATCGAGTCAGTACCAACTCATATCGACCTTATGCACAGCAGAACGAAACACTGCCTGATCCTGGGCCAACCTCACAATTGTTGCCACACTTGAGTCCATTGATGCTGCCACTTGGCCAATTCATCTCATTGGGGGTTTTCTTTTTCTCTGACCCTCCACCTTACCAAACATGATACCCTTCTCCAGTAACTGGTCCCTCTTGAAAATATGTCCGAAGTATGAGAGACGAAGTTTGGCCATCTTGGCCTCCAAGGAGCACTCTGGCTACACTTCTTCCAAAACGGATCTGTTGGTTCTTTTGGCAGCCCAAGGAACTTTCAATATTCTCCTCCAACACTATAACTCAAAAGCATCAATTCTTCTACGGTCTTCCTTATTCACTGCATATGAGGTTATTGAAAACACCCATGGCTTGGGTCAGGTGCACCTTAGTCCTCAAGGTGACATCTTTGCTCTTTAACACTTTGCCTAATTCAATACGTCGTTTGATTTCTTGACCGCTGCTTCTGTGAGTGTTGATAGTTGATCGAAGACAAATGAAGTCCTTGACAACATCAATCTTTTCTCTGTAGATAAGAACGCTGTTTATTGGTCCAGTGGTAAGGATTTTTGTTTTCTTTACATTGAGATGTAAACCATAGTGAAGGCTGTGCTCTTTGATCTTCATCAGTAAATGTTTCAAGTCCTCTTCACTTTCAGCAAGCAAGTTTGGATCATCTGTATATTGCAGGTTGTTAATGAGTCTTCCTCCAATCCTATGCCATGTTTTTCTTCATAGAACCCAGCTTCTCGGATTCTTTGCTTAGCATACAGGTTGAATAAATATGGCGAAAGAATACAACCTTACAACCTTGTCGCACACCTTTCTTAATATTAAACCATTCAGTGTTCCCATGTTCTGTTCAAACAACTGCCTCTTGGTCCATGTACAGATTCCTCATGAGCACAATTTAGTGTTCTGGAATACTCATACTTCGCAATGTTGTCCATAGTGTGTCATGATCCACACAATTGAAAGCCTTTGCGTAGTCAATAAAGCACAGGTAAACATCTTTCTGATATTGTCTGCTTTCAGCCAAGATCCATCGGACATCAGCAATGATATCCCTCGTTCCACGGCCTCTTCTGAATCCGGCTTGAACCTCTGGAAGTTCTTTGTCAATGTATGCTTGCAGCCATTTCTGACCACCTTTAGTAAAACTTTACTCGCATGGGCGTGGGATATAAAAGAGATTGTCTGATGATTTCCACAGTCTGTTGGGTCACCTCTCTTTGTAATGGGCACAAATATGGATCTCTTTCAATCAGTCTGCCAGATAGTTGTCTTCTAAATTTCTTGGCAGAGATGAGTGAGTACCTCCAGTGCCGCCTCACTTTCTTGAAAGATTTCAATTTTTATTCCATCAATTTCATATACTGCCTCTTGAAATGGTTGAACATTAACCATTTCCTTTTGGCACCGTGACTCTGTGTATTCCTTCTGTCTTCTCTTGATGCTTTCTGCATCATTCAGTAATTTGCCCAGAGACTCTTTCAATAAAGAAAGTCGAGGCTTGAATTTTTGCTTCAGTTCCCCTGGCTTGAGAAATGCTGAGCGTGTTCTTCCTTCTTGGTTTTCTAATTCCAGATCTTTGCACATTTTGTTATAATATTTGGCTTTATCTTCTCGAGCTGATCTTTAAATTTTTCTGTTCAGCTCTTGGACCTCCTCATTTCTTCCATTTGCTTTAGCATCTCTACTAACCTTAGTTCTAACATTAAACAAAGTCCTAGACTTAACCATAATCCTAACCCTTCCTCCTACTTAAAAAAAAAAAAGTTTTATTGTGAATTATGTGATAGTTTACATGGGAGAATATTAGCTTTACTTACTCCTACTTTTAAGGAGCTCTGGTAGCGTAGTGGTTACGAATTGGGCTGCTAACCTCAAGGTCGGCAGTTCAAAACTATCAGCTGTTCTGTGGGAAAAAGATAAGGCTTTCTGCTCCTGTAAAGATTTACAGCCTTGGAAACCTTGTGCAGGGTCACTATGAGTCGGAACTGACTCCACAGTACTTAACAACAACAACTCCTACCTTTATGAAAAGAACCATCCAGCTATCTCCTAGAGTCCCACCTGCTCCCCACCCCTTCAATCCCAGGACACAACAGCCCCACCCTCTGCCCCTAGACCTCAGTGCTATCTCAGGAGGCCCTGGGTAAGGGCAGGATCACAATGACCCAGAAGTGGGGGCAGTGGGGAGGAGACCACAATGGGACCAGGGTCAGGAAGATGGGCTCACCCAGGGACTAGCCCACCTGTTAGGGGGCTCTAAGATCTCAGGACCTTTTCAGGCCCCACCCAGAAGGTCCACCAAGGTAAGTGTGACACCTAGAGCCAGCTTCAAGCTGAAATAACCCTGGGATGGGGTGTGGAGAGGAGAAAGCAGGCTTGGAGATCCTCAGTGTCAGAGTTGGGGGCTAGGGTGAGGTATTGGCTCCCAAAGGAAGCAGTTTGTTAAAAATATGTGCCTTGGCCCATCTGAATCAGAATCTGAAATGGGAGGTGGGGACAGTCATCTGTATTTTCAACAAGCTCCCCTCCCAGGTTGAGGAACTGCTGGTCAAACTACATTCTCCTTTTGAACTTGGTCCCAGGTTTCCTAAGTCCCAGCAGAATGCTGATAACAGTGATGACCTCCACAATTCGAGTACTCCAATAGGAGTCCTGATGTGGCTCTGTGTGTTAATGCACAGCAAGGTCAGTGGTTCAAACTCACCAGCTGCTCCTCGGAAACCCTATACAGGGTCACTATGGGATGGAACGGGCACTTCAACAACAACAATAGGTGTGGTGTACTTTCACCCTTCCTGTATAGGGTTTCTGAGGCTGTAAATCTTTAGGGAAGTAGAAAGCCCCATCTTTATCCTGCGCAGTGCCTGGTGGACTGACCTTGTGGTTAGCAGTCCAAGTTTCAGTGGTTCCAACAATAACAGTCTTTACTGAGCACTTACAATATGTCTGGTACTGTTTCAGGAGCCTTGGTGGCGCTGTCTGGTAAGTGTTGGGCTGCTAACCTCCAGCTGGTGGTTTAAATCCACCAGTGGCTCCACGGAAGAAGGATGAAGCTGTCTGCTCCCATAAAAATAGTCTCGGATGCCCGGTATAGGATCGCTATGAGTCGGAATCGACTCGTTGGCAGTGTGGTTGGCTTTTGTTTTGGTACTGTTCTAAGTGATTTCCACATATTGGCTCATTTAAACGTCACAGCAACCCAAAAGGTCATCACTTCAAATGAGGAAACAGGCTCGCCGAGCTCCAGCCTGAGATCTCTGTTCCCAGAGCCAGTGCAGTTAACCCCTAAACCGCACAGCCCCTTTAGGCACTATGGCTTGGGGGCTACTCTACCTATGCCCCGCCCCACTTCACACCGCTTTCCCGACCCCTCGCTGGCGTGAGGATGTCCTGAGCTGAATGCTGGGCCAGACATGCTCCAGAGTCGCCTCAAGTCGGGGGCCCAGGAGGTGGCGCCCAAGGGTTTTCCCGGGAATGGAAATTTCCGCATGAGGAGATACCCGCTGCAGCCCTGGCTGACCCAACCCGAGCTCCGAGTCGCCTCTCCACAGGCTGGCGTGGGGGGCTCAAGGGGCCCGAGTAGCCCTGGGGTTGTTGCCCCGTGGTGGCAGATCCCCAGGCACGGGCTCCTGGATATACTGGTGCGCCAGGCCACAGAGCCTGGGGTGGATATCAGGGCACCGCGCTTGCCTGCCCTGCCCACGGTGGTCCAGCGGATGGCGCAGAATCCGGCAGCGCTGAGCTCCCGGTTGCTGCCACCCCTGTTCTCCGCCGTACCATCAACATTCCGGCGTCCAGCGCCTGTACATAGGGAGGACCACCGGAGGGGCTTGGCCAGGGAGGCTCCGAATGCCTTGGGTGCCCTGCTACGAGAGTTCCTCCCCAGCAGGTTCCGTGAGTTCCTGTGCCACCTCCTGTCGGCGAGTGACGAACAGCAGTGGAAGGAACAGAGTGAGGCCCCACCTAGCCCCGAGGCGGGGCGGGACTAGGGCGGGAGTTCATCATTTCTGGTAGGGGGTTGGTTCTCACGCCTTTCCCCTGCCCCACCCACTTGCTGATAATTATACTTCTGTTAATTGAGTATCACCTCCCAGAATTCTCACAACCAGTGTTTGAGGGCAGATCTACTATTGCCCCTACTTTATGAATGAAGAAACTGAGGATCAACTAGGAAGAGCCTACTAAATTGTCCTGCCCTGGACAGCTCATAACAATTTCCATCTTCTCCTGGCTCCCAGCATCCTCAGAATTGCAACACCAAGTGGGTTTATCAGAGCACAGTCCAGGTTCTCCTCAGTGTTCTAACTTCTCATTCCTCCCAGACCTAGGGTAAGTGTCAGAGGTGACTTTAGTGGGGAGATGGTTGTCACAGATGCTGCAGGGGTATGGAATCCTGAGTATCCATGCCATTTGTGGCCTATTTTTCTTCAAGGGGCCAACCACCATTCTTCCGGAAGCTGCCTTTGTCCACAGAAAGTCTTAAGATTTTGCTCCATCAGATAACTGACCTGGGGTCCTTGAAGAAAGATTGCTCACATTTCTCTATGGTCAGGAAGACCAACCAGTGAGTTAGTTATATGAAGGTTGGGAGTGGGAGACTGGGGAAAAAGGATATTTTTCCTTCCTTTCTTTACTCTGTGTTTCACCTATCCATCTGCCTACTTATTTATTCATCCATCTGCCATCCATGAACCAGGTCTTCTGCCAAAGTATTTATACTTTACTCCCTAATCAAACTATCTATCCCCTCATCTATCATTACATAGATCTATCCATGATAGGATCTTCTACCAAACCATCCTTTTTTGTGAATTGATTGAAGGTTAACAGACAAGATTATCAGCTTTACAGTCAGCAAATTACACACTTTGTTCCATCTCAATAATTGCAATCCCCTCCCTGCAACATTTATCCTACTTCCTATCTGTGGCTCCCCTTTTACATCTTTAAAAAATATTTTTTGTACACTAGACCATTCTTCCATCCATCCATTCATTCATTGAGTCTTCTGCTAACACACTTATAATTTATTCATTAATCCATTAATATAGTCATCCTCCCATTCATCCATCCAACCTGGCATACATCTTACCCAAGAACCAGGTCTTTTACCAACCTATTCATGGACTTCTCTACCCATCCATGCAGGCACCTGTCAATTCGTGACCCGATAACTCCATTCATCCATTCATCCACAAACTCTCATGAGTCTATATACCCATCCATGAATCCAATGATGAACCACCTACAAATCCTCTCTCCATTTGTAAATACAGGACATTCTTCATCCTTAATCTAGTCATGATGCCATTCATAAAACTATACTTAATCTACATAATCATCCATACACACATTCACCATGATTCAGTCCTTCTATTCAGATGGTTTAATTAATTCTTTCATCAGTCCATCCATCCATAACCCATTCTTTTATCCATCCCACCACTCAGTTATCAATTTCTTCCTCATTTATTAAGTATTTACTATATGTCAAATAGCAGAAGAAATGAAATAAGGGATGAAGGTAGGAGAAGAGAGTGGGTATTGCAGCTCACCTGCAATGCTTAGTCATAGCCCTAATGGGTGCAGAAAGAAAGTAGAAAAAATGTCTGCAGCTTAAACAGGCTTACACAGGAGTGAAGGGTAAAGAGACTGTCCATGAATTAAACAACCAGGGAGAGCAAATACCTGGCACACAGACCACTCTTTCTCTTCTTGTACCAAAGGCAGACAGTATTAATTGATCACAGCACATTTCCCCACTGAGTCTCAGAATCCTTTCTGGCACAGTGCTCTAGGCAGACACTACTAATAGATCAGAGTAGATACAGGAAATAAGACATATTAGATGATCCAGGAACTTTAAACCAATCATGCCAAATAAAGACATCAAGTCTCACAAGATAGAATAAAAATATAGAACTTGTCTGTCAGTTTGTTATAATGTGGAAACTTGTGTGTTGCCGTGATGCTGTAAATGCTATGCCACTGGTGTTTTAAATACCAACAGGGTAACTCATGGTGGACAGGTTTTAGCTGAGCTTCCAGACTAAGACAGACTAGGAAGAAGGAGAAGTAGACCAGTTCTGAAAGAGTAGTCACTGAAAACCTTATGAATAGCAACAGAACATTGTCAGATATAGTGCCAGAAGATGAGCCCCTCAGATTGGAAGGTACTCAAAATAAAACTAAGGACAAGCTGCCTCCTCAAAGTACAATTGACCATGATGACACGAATGGAGTAAAGCTTTCAGAACCTTCATTTGTTGATGGGGCACAACTCTAAATGAGGAGAAACAGCTGCCAATACCCATTAATAATCAGAACATGGAAAGTACAAAGTATGAATCTAGGAAAATTGGAAGTTGTCAAAAATGAAATGGAACACATAAAAATGAGCTGAAATAGATTGGTATTAGCTATTTTGAATCTGACAATCATATGCAGGGAATGACAAATTCAAGAGGAATGATATCATATTCATCATCAAAAAGAAAATTTTTAGATATATCCTGAAGTATAACACTGTCTGTGATAGAATAATATCCATATACTTACAAGTAAGACCAGTTACTACCACTATTATTCACATTTGCACACCAACCACTAAAGCCAGTGATGATGAAATTGAAGAACTCTAACAGCTTCTTCAGCCTGAAATTGATGAAACATGTAATCAAGATGTATTGGTAAGTACTGGTGATTAGAATGCGAAGTTTGGAAACAAAGAGGAAGAATCAGTAGTTGCAAAATATGTTCTTGGTGAGAGAAATGATCATGGAGATTTCATGCTAGACTTTTGCAAGACTTCTTCATTGCAAATACCTTTTTTAAACAGCATAAAAGACATGGACCTCACCAGATGAAATACACGGAAATCAAACTGACTACAATTGTGGAAAGAGACCGTGAAGAGTTCAATATCATCAGGCAAAACAAGGTCAGGGTCTGACTGTGGAGCAGATCATCAACTACTCACATTGCAAGTTCAGACTGAAGCGGAAGAAAATTTTAAAAACTATGTGAGCCAAAATATGACCTTGAATATACCCCACCTGAATTAGAGACCATCTCTAGAATAGATCTGATATATTAGATACTAATGACCAAAGACCAGAAGAGTTGTGGGATGACATCAAGAAAATCATCGGGAAGAAGGCAAAAAGGTCATTAAAAAGACAGGAAATAAAGAAAAGGCTGAAGTGGTTGCCAGAAGAGACTCTGAAATTTGCTCTCCAGCATCTCTATGCTAAAGCAAATAGAAGAAATGAGGAAGTCAAAGAGCTGAAGAGAACATTTCAAGAAGACAAAGCAAAATATTATAATGAAATGTGCAAAGATCTCGAGTTAGAAAACCCAAAGGAAAGAACATACTCAACATCAAAAGAAAACGGAAGGGACTTCCGGCAAGATGGCAGTTTAAGCATATGCACTACACTGACCCTCTACAACAAAGATACGAGAAACCAAATAAAACAGACACAGATGAAAATTTTGGCACCCTGAACTTCAGAAGAAAGGTTAGAGAGGTGGGAGGAGAAGCAGAGCATGGACAGCGAGAGAGGGAGACTGATTGGTGGATGGCCTACCAGATGTGACTTGTGAGCAGCTTTGGCAGCAGAGGGAGGCTTGGCAGAGCAGATTCTCAAGGGCAACAGGAAAGGTATGATTTTTCTCTTTTTTCTCACCCTCCCCTGGTGACCAGAGGTGTGGCCAGCTCCCACCATCATCTACCCCCCAGCAAAGACCCTGCTCTCTGGGAATTTGGAGCCACCATGCCAGTGTGAATTGGTGGCCAGTTGGGGCTGCACTGCTTTAGTATGCTACTTTGGTGCCTGGATTCCAGTGGGTTCAACTCCAAACCTACAAAACCCACAGAGCCACCAGACTTGTATTTAACCAGCCACCCTGCCTCCAGCTGCCCTGTGGTCCTAACAGATACTGAAACCAGTTCCATCAAGAGCCCCACAAACTACTTCCGGATTGAGTGCCCTGAACATGGATAACATTGAGGCCAATAGGAACTCCATCTACGGCCAGGAATTTCACGGTCTCATTGCTTTCACAACCACCTTGTGTGCTCCTTGCATTGCAGGAGCCCACCAGCGATGTCACCCCTCCAGGTCCAACAACACTGTTTGTTTTTAAAATATGACAACCCCACAGTGTCCTAGAGACAACAGACAATTATAGCTCACACAAAGAAACGAGATAATGGCTCGAACAAATGACCAAGATGCAGAGACGGTAAACATTTCCGAGGGAAAAAAAGTAATGGAACTAACTGAAAAAGAATCCAAAAGAATGATATTTTGGTACTTTCAATGGACTGACAAAAAGATTGAGCAAAGCAAGGAGAACAGAGAAAACAACTTTAGAATAATTCATGAAAATGCTACAAGAATAAAGAGATAAAATAAATGGAAATTTTGAAACAATACAAAACCTGCCATTAGGAACCCAGAAGATTAATTCTAAGATTTCAGAAATGGACAATACGTTGAAAGTGCAAAGGAGAAAATTTGAAACAATGGAAGCCCAAATTAGTGAACTTGCAGAGGGAAAAGTGTAGATACAGAACTTCCAAATGGCGAGGAAGTCAAATAGATTTCAAAATCAAACAGTTCGATTTAAGCAGGGAAAAATAAAAAGTTACAGGGCAATATCAAAGAAAAATAATACATCTGCATATCAAAAATTTAAAAAGAGGAAAATCCAAAAGATTTAGTAAACATTAATACTGGTGTGGAACAGTGGGTTAATGAGCTGGACTGCAAGGTCAGTTTGAACCAAAAGATTGGTGGTTCAAGTTCACCAGTCGCTCCTCTGGAACCCTATACAGAGTCTCTGAGTTGTAACTGACTCCAGAGCATTTAACAACAACAACACAACAGAATAAAAACGACAAGAAAACCCACAAACATAATGAACTCAGCATAGAAAATTATGTAGAAGAAAGAATCCACCAGCACCACCAAAAAAGAAAAAAACCAAAACATTCACAAAAAAATGACAGCAATCAATTCATACCTATTGATAATTACACTGAATATAAATGGATTAAGTGTACCAATCAAGAGACATGGGGAACAGAATGGATAAGAAAACAGGATCCTTCAATATTCTGTCTATAAGAGAATAAAAAAGATGGAGACAGCCTAACTGCCCATCAACAGAAGAATGGTTAAACAAACTTTGATACATACACACAATGGAATACTACACAACATTGAATAATGATGAGTCTGTGAAACACCTCACAACATGGTTGAACCTGGAAGACATTATGATAAGTGAAATTAGTCAATCACAAAAGGACAAATACTGTATGAGACCAATGTTGTAAAAAGCTTTTCTTAATAGGAGAAACAATCTATGATGGTTATGGGGGGGGTGTGGAGAGGAGAAATTATTTACAGTCTAGAAGGTAGACACATGTTAACAAGGGTTACAGAGAAAGCAATATACAACAAGAGGGAGGTTAGCAAAGGAAAGATGGAGGTAGCAGGAGACACAGGGAGGAATGCAATAGTTAAAGTGAATAGAGGTAAATATTGTTAACTGTTGGCACATGAAGGGGATTACAACCATGTAATGGAGCAAATTTTATGATGTTTTAAAATATAAAACTGATCTGTTCTGTAAACCTCACTCAATTCACAATTAAAAAAAAAGTTGAAAAAAACTGGAAAGATAAAAGGAAAAAAAAAAAAGAAAATGGAAGGTAAACACAGAGTCACTGTATCAAAAAGAAATGGTCACTATCCAACCATTTCAAGAGGTAGCATGTGATCAAGAACCAGTACTGCAGGAAGGACGTCCAAGCTGCATTGAAAACATTGGCAAAACACAAGACTTCAGAAACGGATGAACTATAAGCTGAAATCTTTCAGCAAACTGTGTAAGCACTAGAGGAGCTTACTCATTTATACATAGAAATCTGGAAGACAGCTACTTGGCCAACCAATGGGAAGAGACTCATATATGTGCCCATTCCAAAGAGAGATGACCCAACGGCATGTGAAAATTATATAACAATATCATTCATATCACATGAAAGTAAAATTTTGCTGAAGATAATTCAAAACTAGCTCCAACAGTACATTAACAGAGAACGGCCAGAAATTCAAGCCTGACTCAGAAGAGGAGTTGTAACAAGGAATAGATATCATTGCCAATGTCAGATGGATCTTGGCTGAAAGCAAAGAATACCAGAAAGATGTTTACTTTTGCTTTATTGACTATGCAAAGTATTTTGACCGTGTGGATCATGACAAGTTGTGGATAACATTGCAAACAATGGGTGTTCCAGAACACTTAATTGTGCTCATGAGGAACCTGTACACAGACCAAAAAATAATCATGAGAACAGAACAAGAATCTACTGAATGGTTTAAAATCAGGAACGGTGTGTGGTATGGCTATATCCTTTCACTATGCTTATTCAATCTGTACCCGGGCAAATAATCTGAGAAATTGTATTATATGAAGAAGAATGTGGCATCAGAACTGGATGAAGACTAATAAACTGTAATATGCAGATGATACAGCTTTGCTTGCTGAAAGTGAAGAGGACTTAAAATACTGATGAAGATCAAAGACTACATGTAGCCTTCAGTATGGGTTGTAGCTCAATGTAAAGAAAACAAAAATCCTCACCACTGGAACAATAATGTGGTAAATAGAGAAAAGGTTGACATTATCAAAGACTTCATTTTTCTTGGATTCACAGTCAACACTCATTGAAACAGCAGTCAAGAAATCAAACGATGTATTTCATTGGGCAAACCTGCTGCACAAGATCTCTTTAAAGTATTGAAGAGCAAAGGTATCAGTTTGAGGACTAAGGTGCGCCTGACCCAAGCCATGGTATTTTCAATCACCTCATATGCATGTGAATATTGGACAATGAATAAGGAAAACTGTAGAAGAACTGATGTATTGGAGTTATGTTGCTGGAGAAGAATATGAAAAGTACCATGGACTGCCAGAACAACCACCAAAACTGTGTAGGAAGAAATACATCCAGAATGCTCCTTGGAAGCCAGGATGGAAAAACTTGTTCTCTCATACTTTGGACATGTATCAGGAGGGACCAGCCCCTAGAAAAGTCCATTATGCTTGGTAGTTGAGGGTTTGAGGAAAAGATAAGACACCACCCCAAGGAGATAGATTGACACAATGGCAGCAGTGGGCTCAAGCGTAACAACCATCATGAGGATGGTATAAGTCGGGGCAGGGTTTCATTCTGTTGTACACAGAGTCACCATGAGTTGGAGTGGACTCAATGGCACCTAACTGCAACAATGGAACTTATTAATATCTTAAATTCATGTAAAAGTAGGGGTTAGCATAATCACAGATTTTCATAATCAAGAGACAATACTTGAACCACCTGGAGTGAGACTTTGAACTTGCTGGTAGACCTGGCCGAGACCAACCCAGAACAGGTTGGCTATCTAGGCTCAATCCTTGTAGCTAGACGCTGTGTAGACACCTCCAAGCTTGTTAGATCTTTAGTAGACTGATGGAAATCAGTCCTTCTAGAGCCATTTGGGCATAAAGATGTGACCAGGTAAATGGTTGCAGACATGTAACTATGCACACATTTAAAGTCAAACACGGCATTTCTGAATCCACATATGCATCATGCAGGTCCTCCTGTAGCTTTGCCCTTGAGGCTAAAATTAATAACGACAAATGTAACAATAACAGGTACCCTTTGTTGAGTACAAATTTGGGGTCAGACCCTGTACTAAGTACCACACCAATTATTTGCTATTCACCAAGCTCTTAGGAGAATGATGGGATCATGCCATGAGATATATGACTGAAAGGAGAAAAATACAAACTGGAGACTCAAGGGAGGTTCAGGCCCTGGCCCAGGTCACATGACTAAGAAGTAGCATAAATGAGCCAGCAATACTACTAATTAGTAAATACAAATAATGAACTTAATTGTTGTAGGAAGACTAGCTTCCGGTTTGAGATGTTTACACTCAGCCCTGCAGACTCTGTCTGGGCTGGGTACTTTGCAGGCATTAACCTATTTCATCTCTTCATACTCTGAACAGTGGACACACTGATCACTACTTTACAGAGAAGAAAACCGAGGCTCAAAAAAGTCAGGGTGAAACTCAGCACTCCCTGACTCCTGATTTCCTGTTCTTAGTCCCTCTGCTAAAATGATTGCTATATAAATGCTAGCTCTGAAACTAGCTTGCAGATCTTGGCTCCACCCCCTTAGTAGTTGTGTGACTTTGAACAAAACAAAAAAATCTCTGTGCCTCAGTTTCCTCATCTGTAAAATGAAGTCAAAAGCATTCACAATCCATCCATCATCCACTCATGTATTGCTGCACAGATGTGTTTCACAGGGTTGGCTGGGCACAGGTGACACAGGTGACATGCCCCGGCAGGCAGACAGTCTGTTGGCTGTGAGGAACTCAGAGTTCTGTTGTACAGATGAGCTGAGGGGGAGTCCCATGTGAGTGGCTGTGTGTGTGTTGCTGGGGCTGGGCTGAGGTAAGGGGTCTCAGCAGTTCCTCTGGCCTCTCTCAGCAGGCCCCACAGTGCTCAGACCTCCAGGCTCAAGGCTGTGCTCACTCATAGCACCTCAGGGGAAGGATCTGGGCTCCGCAAGAGATGCTGCCCTTTCCGAGTGCGATTCGCTGACGAGACCCTTCGGGACACAGCACTCCGCTACTGGGAGCGAAGCTGTGCAAGTAAGCAGACAAGGTAGGGGCGGGGTGGGGTGGGGGGACGTCTTTAGGAGGGCTCTGGCTTAGAGGGGCTGAGCTGAGCTGTCCCCAGGCAAGTACTGCCAGGAGGCCTGTCCACCACAGCAGGCCTTTTCACTGCCAAGGCGTCCTCACAGATCGAAACTACCTACCCACCTTGGAGTCAGCAGCCCCCACAGTCCCTGAACCTGCAGCCTTCATGGGCCGGAGAAGACCCAGACACACAGAAGTATCTTCCTCCCATCTCCATGGAGACAGACCTCTTCCCTCTTCCAGGGAAGGTGGGCATCATCTGGCTGGGCAAAGAAGCTAAACACTGCCAGGTCCAACTTCCCTGACAGAAGTCTGCCCTCTGCTCTCCATGGATGGGCATCATAGTGTCTGTACACTATGAGTTTTCTAGTGAGTGTTTTGAAGGAGTGGCAAGAAGCCCGTGTGAAGAGGTAGTAGCGTGCAGAGGTGGTCCTTTCCAATCCTTTCTCCAACTGCTCAGCCTCTTCTCGGCCCTGCATGTGGTAGGCCCAGCAGCCAACATCTGCATCTGTTCATTCAGCACCTATTACATGAAGTTTCAGGAAATGGTGTCCCCAAAGCCTAGCTTTGGGTGCAACTCTATAAAATTTGGACCTTTTGGAATTCAGGAAAGACCCCATCCAGCCTCCTTAGAATCACAGGAAGTAGGAGATGGGAGCTACAGTTTGCCCAACTTCTGATTGTTGTTCGATGGGGAAGCTGAGACCCCCCCAGAGGAGAAGGGGCTTGTGAAAGTCATAGCAGCCAGGAATGGAAGCCAGAGTGTCCAAGGGCCACTCTTGGACTCCACGGAAAGGAGAAAGGAAGCTCAAGAGACACAATTTAATGCCAGTGGCAGTGGTTGGCATAGGAGACATTTCCTAGTCAGTCCCTGGTCAAAAGGAACTGTGGTCCCTGCCGCAGGGCACCAAGGTGCACAGAAAAGAGGGGCTTGGCCTAATGTAGCCTTGGGGAATTCGGGGTCCCTGACCAGCTAGAAAAGAGTAAGATCAAGGTTCAAACCAACCAGCTGCTCCACAGGAGAAAGATGAGGCTGCCCTCTGCTGTGAAGATTTACACAGATCACTGTGAGTTGGAATCGACAAGATGGCAGTAGGTATTTTTGGTTCTGGGGAGCAGCCACAAGAGGAGTTGCTGGGCAGAATTAGTTCTCCATCCTGACACTCTCTCTCTACCCAGCGATCATCTCTCAGAATTCTTAGGGTGAAGTACCTCCCACTGTGGAAAAGGGGCAGGATCCAGGCATGGAGGGTGGTAGGGAGAAGGGCACCACCTAGCTAATAATGGTAGAAACAGTCACTCAAGATGGGTTTAAAACCCAAGTCGACTCTGGAAGAGCCCGAAAGGGCTGGGGAGCCTTGGGTTGCCATGGAGATGGGTCTCTGCCTGGCCTTGCCTGCAGAGGATGAAGGGAGGTGGGGGTGCTGTCCTCCTGGTTAGGGTCCAACCTGTGCCCTCTCTCCCACAGTCCGGCAGAGCGTCCTTGACAGCGGGCCAGCCCCTCAGCCTGTGGTGTCGGAGCAGATGTTCCACAGTGTCGGGAGATGGCTGGAGAGTTTGCCCAAAGCCATGTGCCCTGGGGCCAGGCAGGAGAAAGCCACCACCACCAGCTCTTCCTGGAGCTGGGACTGCCCTAGCCTGTGAGTCTTCCCTCTTTGCCCTGTGGACCTCGGGGTTGGATCCTGTCAGCCAAGGGTGGGCCTGGGACTTGGGATTCATGACTCAATGGGCTCCTGTCTCTGTCAGGCCCACCCTGGAGCCACAGGGCCATCTCCCTGAGAAGGCCTCCAAGAACAGCAGCCTGCCCCGCATTCCCAGGGTGACCATTCAGAGGCAGCTGGGGGACCTCACAACCCACCTGGATGTCCACAGCATCCTGAAGCAGGTGGGCAAACTGCCCCGTACCTGGAACCAGAAATTGGTGAGCATCTGCTAGGGGCCAGCCACACTGAGCCCCCGGCCTGGGTGGCGTGGCTAGCACGTGGGCTCAAACCTCTCTGGGTTCTCAGGTACTCTGGGCACTTCTAATGGCCTAGCCCTGCATCCCTGCATCGCCCTCAAAGCTCAGCAGTGAGAGGGCAGCTCTAGAGCTCTGGCATCTGGCTTCAGGCTGGGAGGCCTCTCTGCATCCTGTCCCCCTTAGTAACCAGCTGGTCCTCTCCTCACTCTAGGAGTCCTTCCTGCCCAGTTTGGTGCTGCAGTGCATGCTGAAGCGAGGCCGCCCTAAAGGTTACCAGCTCCTTCTGCCCTCGGAAACACTGCCTCGCGTTCAGAGGTGAACACCTTCGAGCCGTACCCATGCCATGGGTAGACTCCCATCAGAGAATGAGGAGAGGCCCCTCTTGCCCCACAAATAAACACTCCTCCTAGGTGGCTAGGATCCACCACCATGTCTCATCCTACGAGCTTCCCCCTGTGCCTGGTTTATGGGTTCTGCAGTTCTTGGGCCAAGGGAACTCATAGCTGGGGCAGGACTGAGGATGGGAGCAAGGCATCCTTCAGGGTCCAAGTGAACCTCTCTTCTGGAAAGTGGGAGACCTCGTTGTGTACCTTGAAGCTGGGCCTAAGACACTGCCGACCTAGATCTATCCACAGGTGTGACAGGCACCAGCCATGCCCAGAGCCAGTCTCCCTCTTCGACTCCTGGAGGATAAGAGTGTTCAGACTCCAGACAAGGACAGAGGCCTGGGTGTGGATAAACGGTAGTCTTCTGCATTCCCTCAACTGGCTACAGACCATCTGGTCCCCTGAGGACAAGCATCTGGGAGGGCCAGGGTCAAAAGTTTCTCTCATTGAGTGTGTGTGTGTGTGTATGTATGTGTGTGAAGATTGTTCAAAGTTGCCTCCAGAGGTGGTGGAGGACAAGGTGGCAGGCACTGTTGGAATTTCATCTGGCCACAGTGCTTACCCAGTATCCCTAGTGCCACCCCCATACACCCTCTGCCAGACTTGGCCCTGTCACACGGGAGTTCCAAAGCCCCCACCCCCCACCTTCACCCCCCACCCCCGACACTCTGAAGGAGCCCTGGTGGTACAGTGATTAAGGGCTCAGCTGGAAAACAGAAGGCTGGTTCTAACCCACCATCCTCTCTGAGGGAGAAAGATAGCCGCAGTCTGCAGCCCTGGAAACCCTATGACGCAGTTCTTCTTGGTCCTAGAGGGTTGCTATGAATTGGAATCCACTCAATGGCAATGGCCTATTTGGTTTTGGACATATGAGCCCTGGTAGGGTAGTGGGTTATGAGCTGGACTGCTAACTGCAAGGTCAGCAGTTCGAATCTACCAGCTGCCCCTAAGGGAGAAGCATGCAACATTCTGCTCCCGTTAAAATATACAGCCTGGGAAACCCTATAACAGGGTCGTTGTGCGTCACAAAGGCACATCCCCATTACCTCTTCTCCGGTGCCACCCTTTGACCCTGGCAATCCAGGCTTTTTATCGCCACCTACTGGTCAGCGAGGAAACACCAAGACACCGAGTTAACAGGAAAGGAATGGGATGCTAATGAGCTTCGCCAATAGGTTGTTTATGGTGGTGGTGATGATGGTGGTGTGCCCTGGAGTCAGAGGATTTCTAAGGCTGTAAATCTTTACGTGAGCAGAAAACCTCATCCTTCTCCGGCAGAACAGCTGGTAGTTTCGAACTGCTCACCTTGAGGCTCGCAGCCCGATTTCTACCCATTACGCTACCACTACCAGAGCTCCTTATAGGTTGCTAATGGTGGTTACTAATTCTGGATGGTAGTGGGGGATCTTGAGACCCCCTTGGGTAGTGAATGGGTGGGGGAAGGTTTTCAAGCTAGCTCATCAGCCACTCCTTGGAAACCCTGTACAGGGTTGCTATGAGTCGGAATCGACTCCATGGCACTTAACAACAACCCTGGTTGCAGAAGAAAGTCAACAGAATTAGACACACTAGGGACACACTGTGGGTGAAGCGAAGAGGGTATGGTGCTACAAGCTCCCTTCACGGGGGATTGGAGTAGGATTTCAATCCTTGGGATGACAGCCACTTCCTTTACTAGGCTCTCACGTTCCAGACCCCAACCCAGAATTTCTGTTTTCTGGCGAGCTGCGGGTCTCAGATAAGCCTGATTCTACAACACTTCCTTTGTGTCACCTTGCACAGCCCGCCCCGCCCTCAATGAGCCTCAGTTTCCCCCCAAGAGCCGCTGAGGACTCGCGTCCTGCCGCCAGCTACAACGCTGCGCGGTATCCACGAGAGGGCAGTGTTGGCCTGACTTTGGCACCGCCCGACGCGGCCGAAACTTCTCAGCCTCTAGCTAAAAGGTTGGAAACTTTTCTCCCTTAGCGCGCTGCACGCGTCTTCCCGCCGGCAACCCCCTGCTCCTGCCGCAGCCCGTCTTCCCACCCTGCTCCTCGGGCCTCTAGACTAGCTCCACTACCTCCTTTTCACCTGCCTGGAGTTCGCGGTCGAAGCGGGACAAGGGATGCCCCGCCCCCAGCCCCCCAATTTATTTATTTTTTTGCTGTTAAACCAAAAACTGCTAAGCTTGCAACAGCGCTGTCAGCAAAGAGCACTGGAAATTGAGTCCCGCATGGAACACGGTGGGGCGAGGGAGGGAGGCAGCTGGAAAAATCCTGGCGGCCTCTCAGAGGCGTCCTCCTAGAGCTAGGCCGGGAGAGGTGCCCCCCACGATCTCGGGGCGCTTTCCCAACTGGGCAGGCTCGACGAGGGCAGGTGGGGTGCGGGTCGCGGTCGGGACCTGCCGGAAGGGATAGATAGGAATGTTCGCGGAGGCTCTGCGGGCACGGGGGTGTCCGGGGTGCCCTGCGCCCCTCCTTCCGCACACCCCCTGCCTCCTTGCCCTTTGCCTCCCGACGCCCACCGCCCCTACTTCCCTGGCTCCTCCTCACCCCTTCCCTTATTTATTCCTCCGTCTCTTCCTTTCCTTCCCAAGTCATTCTTCCCTCTCTCCTCTCTTTCCCTCCTCAACAAACATGGATTCTATGTCAAGAGGACCTTGAGCGTCAGCCCAGATCCTGCCACTGGTTCACAGCACAACACACACACTCAACACACAGCCACCGCCCACAGCCACATACCGCACGGGCACACACAGGGACACCAGAGAAAAACAGGTACCTCACAGACACACACACACATACAGAAGGACTAGAGAGAAACACACAACAGTATACACACTACACACAGACAGACACAGCCTAGACATCACACATACACACAGACACAGAGGCACCACACACACATACACACACTTCAAAGACACACACACAAAGGGACTAGCTAGGGAGACAAATCAGACACACTAGAGAAAATCCATACCACACAGATAAACACCACACATGGACTCACACACCACACAGAGATGCACAGAGACACTTCAAAGACAGACACAAAGAGAACCCAGAGAAACACACACCTCTCAGACACACATACATTTCAAAGACACAGGCACAGAAACACCACACAGATAAACACCACACATGGACACACACAGAGAAACACCTCACACAGACACTACACAATACTCTCCCACAGTTCAGCTCTCCAGTCCCCACATTCCTGGGTCCTCCTGCTGATGCAGAAGCCCCTAGCCTGTCCACCATTAGTCTAACATGCCTTCTTTCCTGTGGGCACAGCCTGAACTTGGGGTGATCATGAAGAGGCCAGGGGGCAGGGCAATGTGCTACAGTGAGGGTTAGAGACCTTTCCCGGTGTCCCTGGGTCCCCTCCTTCACTGGCAGGGACCCTGGGTCTCCCTCAAGGGTTCCAAAAAGAGCCCATTTTGCTGGTAGATTTCCATTGGGACTGGCAGTCAGCCAGATTCTCCTGAGCTCCAGGGAGCAATGTAGCAGAAAGGCTGGAAAAGTGGCCTAAGATGGGGCTCACACGGTGGTTTCTGCTCCCCTCAATCTCAGACCTACCAGAGCCCTTGGAGAGGGCAGACAAGTGTCCTTTTCAAACCCTCTCCTGTCACCCACCTCCTTGCTCTGGGAGTGTACCATGAGTGCTCACTGCTACCCCGTTCCATTCCACCCCACCCTGGGCCATGGCCAGACCCAATGCCAAGCCAGGGGAGGGGCAGAGTGACAGATGGTGGAGAGGGAGGAATGAACCCCAACCCAGGTAAGGCTGACTTGAGAGAGACAGGAAAATTACTGCTCCTTTTTACTGAGCATTTCCCATCTCTCTGGGGCCTCTCCACCTCATTGGCAGATAAGGGAATGGAGGACCAGGGAGAGTGGGGTTCTTGACCAGGTCATGCTGGTCACAGAATGCTGGAGCTGGGACTCTACCATCATCCAGTCCTCAGCTATACACACACACAGTCAGTGTCTTACAGGAGAGGTCTCACTGAAGAACCACCACTGAGGAAACAGACCTGGTGGTGGTGGTGGTGTGCCGTGGAGTCGGTTCCGACTCATAGCGACCCTGTATAGGGTTTCTGAGGCTGTAAATCTTTATGGGAGCAGAAAGCCTCATCTTTCTCTGGTGGAACAGCTGGTAGTTTCTAACTGCTGACTTTGAGGATAGCAGCCCAATTCGTAACCACTATACTACCAGAGCTCGTTAGGAAACAGACCTAGAAAGGTTAAACTCTTTCTCAAGGTCAGTTATGAAATGGTAGGTCCAGGAGTCAAACTCAGTGCAGTGAGACACCCAAATACAAGCATGCTTCTGAGCAGGAAGAGCCCATCTCCAGGAAAGCAGTGTTATGGGGGTCTGGGGGGGGCTCCCAGAGCAATAGGGGGGGTCCTTCCTGCCCTAAGGAGTCCATCTTCCTGCACATGGGGCACCTCAAAGGCAGGAAGGGCACCCCCAAAGGCAGGTCAAGATCAGGGATAAGGAAGGATTTATTTGGTAAAGGGGGAGTTGGAACATGAACAAGAGGGACTGCAGGAGCCAAGGGTCCGGGCAGGAAGCCTCAGGGGTTTCTAGTGGTGGTGGGGGATGCAGACCGGACCTGTGGAGAGTGGTAAAGGTAGGGCTGACACCAGAGGCAATGGGGAACCATTGAAGGATGTGGAGTCCATGTAAGGCCAGCTCAAGTGGGGCTCCAGCGACATGAGCTTCCCCCATGGGCTTAGTCACAATTCCAGTTTCCAGGACACGACACAGGGTAGTGGGTGTGAGGATCAGAAGACTTTTGGAGCACACACATGAGAGCAGGGCAGTGGATGGAGGTGGAGTCAGGACTGGGGGTAGAAGAGGGAAGCGCAGGAAGGTGGAGGCTCAGTCCCTGCAACAAGGCTGATGTCTCAGCTCCAGCAGTTCTAAGCCTGGACCAGGGGGAAGCAAGGCACACACAGGAGGGATGTTGACAAGGCACCTCCGTCCCTTCCCCAGCCACATGGACTGCCTAACCTAGTCATGCTGTTTGTCCAACATCCCCACACCCCCAAATCCTCTCCTTCTCCCACTTGTTTCTGCCCATCAGTCCTTTGAGCATTCCATTCCAAATATGTCCAAAGTGACAGATGCCCTGCTCTTTCCAGGGGCTCCTGTTGGAGACTGTCAAACCCCTCCATGAAGACATACATGCCGCCACCTCCAGGCAGCCCCAGAAGCCTCAGCACTTCTCTATAATAAACTCCAGGAAAAGGGGAAGCCCAGGTGGTCTACAAAGCAGAAGGAGGGAATGGCCCCCATTAGAACCCAAGGGGCTTGGCCAGCTCTCTCAGTGCTCTGAAACTTCCTGAGTGCAGCAGCCTGAAGCAATGCCCCCTACCCTCTCACATCATGGGGCCCTGGGGACCCTTAATGAGTCACCCTTAGGGGTTTCCCCAGTTTATTGTCTGCACCTGGCAGCCCCGATTGGCTGCAGTGATGCCCTCAAGCTCTCAGGCCTCCCAGGGAGCCCCCTGCACGGCTCTAGGCAGACTTCCAGCTTTTGTGGCTACAAAACCCTGCATGTTCCAGAAGCAGCTTTCTCCAGAGACCTACTGGGCCGGGCACTGTCCAGCACTCCCAAGGACCCTGAGTATGTTCTCTAGAGGACAATGCCTCTCAGGGCAGCTCAGGAGCCAACTTTCAGCACATATGAGAGTGACTGGAAATCCGTGTGGACAAGACAGACCCAGACCCTGCGGGCTCAGAGCTCTGACTCCAGCAGAAATCATAGAAGGGTAATGACTAAGCACTGTTGAGCAAGTGCTCTGTGCAGCCACTGGTCTGAACACTGCCATGCTTACAGCTGGTCTACTAGGAAGGAAAGCACATGACTGTGAAGGGGGCCCTGGGCCTACTCCCATATTACTGCTGAGGGGCACAGAGAGAGGTAAGGGACCTGCCTATTATGAACACAGCTAAGCTACAAATAAGAAAGGGTGGTAAATGGTGGGATGAGGGGCTAGGAGAGTACAGAGCAGCCTCCTCTGGCAGAGGCAGTTTCCTCCTCCAGAAAGGCTGTCCAGATTTCTTCCAGGGCCCAGGGACCAATACAGAGCAAGAGGGCACACTCCAGGAGAGCAGGAAGTACAGGATGGCATCTAAGGCAAATTCTGTCTCTTTCTGTTCCGTTCCTTCCTTCATTCTTGAACCATATGTTTACTGAGCATCTCCTATGTACTAGGCTCTGAGCTGGGCAAGACAGACCTGGCTTCTGTCTCAGGGAGCCCACTATTTTTTTAGGGGAGATACAGATGGGACTGGCTTCGTAGTTGCACAAGGTCTCTCCCATGCTCAACAGTACCCCCCACTTGACTTAGTGCTCTCTGGTCACCAATTTGAAATTTGTAATAATTTTTGAACAAGGAGTCGTGAATTTTCATTGTGCACTGAGCCCCCACAAGTTGTGTAGCTGTCCTGGACACGGATTTCTCAGAGAAGGGGCTAGGGAGAGCTCTGGGCAAAGGAAACAGTGAGATCACTGGTCTAAATGCTGGGGCAAGTCTGGCTGATGTGAGGCCGCTGGGAAGGGCATGAGGAAATCCCATGGGGATGGGGGGAGGGTGTTGGGAGGCAGGGGTGAGGCTGGTCAGATAAGCACATTCCAGGTGGTGACAGTTTTGTGGAATGTAGCAAGCAAGCTGTGGGCTTTTTCCTGACCCCAAATCCCTATCCAGGGTTCCCAGGTCCCTCAGGGCACCTCTCTGGGAGCAGGGCCAGCAGTAGGCAGAAAGAAGGTCCAGGCCAGCAAAGCTCAGAAAGGACTTTAAAAATACCCCTGAATCTATTTATTGATGAGGTTATGCAGACAAGCCCCACAGCCTCCAGAGGCCGAAACAAGAAATCAGGTAGAAGGAAGCCCCTGCCAGCCCCCTCACCCCTAGTCCTGGTCCCTCCCAGCAGTTGACCTAGCTCTCCCTGTACCTTCCAGGGCTGGT